GAATAGAAAATTAAAACTAGGCCTATCAAAAAGAAAGCATCATTTTATAAAGAATAAGGTATTTATAACATCGATTTAAAGTTAATTGTAATTTTAATTTAAGGGAGAGACACAAATAAAATTTCGTTTTTTGTGTCTCTCCCTTATATTAAAATTACAATTAATTTTAAATCGATGTAAGAGATACCCTATACAATAAAAAATAATATTTTTCTTTTTGATAGGCCTAGTTTAAATTTTCTATCCCTATTGGTTTTTACATAATAGGTATTTTTCCAAATTTTATCTCGTTTTTTGTGTCTCTCCCTTAAATTAAAATTACAAATAATTTTAAAACGATATAAAAAATACCCTATACTATATAAAATAATGTTTTCTTTTTGATAGGTCTAATTTTAATTTTCTATCCCTATTGGTTTTTACATAATGGGTATTTTTCCAAATTTTATCTCATTTTTTGTGCCTCTCCCTTAAATTAAAATTACAATTAATTTTAAAACGATGTTAAAAATACCCTATACTGTAGAAAATTATGTTTTCTTTTCGATAGGTCTAGTTTTAATTTTCTATCCCAATTGGTTTTTACATAATGCGTATTTTTCAAAATTTTATCTCGTTTTTTGTGTCTCTCCCTTAAATTAAAATTACAAATAATTTTAAAACGATATAAAAAATACCCTATACTATATAAAATAATGTTTTCTTTTTGATAGGTCTATTTTTAATTTTCTATCCCTATTGGTTTTTACATAATGAATATTTTTCCAAATTTTATCTCGTTTTTTGTGTCAAAATTTGGAAAAATACCCATTATGTAAAAACTAGTAGGAATAGAAAATTAAAACTAGGCCTATCAAAAAGAAAGCATCATTTTATAAAGAATAAGGTATTTATAACATCGATTTAAAGTTAATTGTAATTTTAATTTAAGGGAGAGACACAAATAAAATTTCGTTTTTTGTGTCTCTCCCTTAAATTAAAATTACAATTAATTTTAAATCGATGTAAGAGATACCCTATACAATAAAAAATAATATTTTCTTTTTGATAGGCCTAGTTTAAATTTTCTATCCCTATTGGTTTTTACATAATAGGTATTTTTCCAAATTTTATCTCGTTTTTTGTGTCTCTCCCTTAAATTAAAATTACAAATAATTTTAAAACGATATAAAAAATACCCTATACTATATAAAATAATGTTTTCTTTTTGATAGGTCTAATTTTAATTTTCTATCCCTATTGGTTTTTACATAATGGGTATTTTTCCAAATTTTATCTCATTTTTTGTGCCTCTCCCTTAAATTAAAATTACAATTAATTTTAAAACGATGTTAAAAATACCCTATACTGTAGAAAATTATGTTTTCTTTTCGATAGGTCTAGTTTTAATTTTCTATCCCAATTGGTTTTTACATAATGCGTATTTTTCAAAATTTTATCTCGTTTTTTGTGTCTCTCCCTTAAATTAAAATTACAAATAATTTAAAACGATATAAAAAATACCCTATACTATATAAAATAATGTTTTCTTTTTGAAAGGTCTATTTTTAATTTTCTATCCCTATTGGTTTTTACATAATGAATATTTTTCCAAATTTTATCTCGTTTTTCGTGTCAAAATTTGGAAATATACCCATTATGTAAAAACTAGTAGGGATAGAAAATTAAAACTAGGTCTATCAAAAAGAAAGCATCATTTTATAAAGAATAAGGTATTTCTAACATCGATTTAAATTTAATTGTAATTTTAATTTAAGGGAGAGACACAAATAAAATTTCGTTTTTTGTGTCTCTCCCTTAAATTAAAATTACAATTAATTTTAAATCGATGTAAGAGATACCCTATACAATAAAAAATAATATTTTCTTTTTGATAGGCCTAGTTTAAATTTTCTATCCCTATTGGTTTTTACATAATAGGTATTTTTCCAAATTTTATCTCGTTTTTTGTGTCTCTCCCTTAAATTAAAATTACAAATAATTTTAAAACGATATAAAAAAATACCCTATACTATATAAAATAATGTTTTATTTTTGATGGGTCTAATTTTAATATTCTATCCCTATTAGTTTTTACATAATGGGTATTTTTCCAAATTTTATCTCGTTTTTTGTGTCTCTCCCTTAAATTAAAATTACATTTAATTTATAAAACGATGTTAGAAATACCCTATACTATAGAAAATGATGTTTTCTATTTGATAGGTCTAGTTTTAACTTTCTATCCCTATTGGTTTTTACATAAAAGGTATTTTTCTAAATTTCATCTCCTTGTTTTTTGTGTCTCTCCCCTAAATTAAAATTATAATTAATTTTAAATCGATGTTAGAAATACACTATACTATGTAAAATGACGTTTTCTTTTTGATAGTTCTAGTTGTAATTTTCTATCCCTATTGGTTTTTACATAATGAGCATTTTTCAAAATTTCATCTCGTTTTTTGGGTCTCTCCCTTAAATTAAAATTACAATTAATTTTAAATCGATGTTAGAAATACCATATACTATATAAAATGATATTTTCTTTTTGATAGTTCTAGTTTTAATTCTCTATCCCTATCGGTTTTTACATAATGGGCATTTTTCCAAAATTCATCTCG